AAACATCGATGGGAAGCCAATATTCTGCAGATCCCAAATCTTTTCAATCCCATAAATCAAGCTAATCACTCCTTTAATGCATTGGTCCGTTGGAGCCTAATTTTGCACTATAAAAAGGGGTGTTTGGGTCTGCTTTTCTCACCAATTCACTTCACAACATCTATACTTTCATTGCATTCAAATATCATAATTTTCCATAGCTTTCTAGAGCCACTTGTGTGAAGGTTGAGTTGTTCTTGAGCGTACTTAGTTTACTCATAATCTACTCTATAAGAGAGTCTCGTTCTTGAGTGTACTTGTGTTCTTAGACACGTTGAGAGATAGTATCACTCTCGGTTGATTCAAAGGAAGGTCTATTTCCTTTGAAGGATTCGTTGAGGTTCGTGTGACTCGAACTCTCAAGTTGTAACGGTTTGTTAAGCACCCGTAAGCTTAACGAGTTAGTAGTGTAGCTCGAGAGAGTCTCTCGGAAGGCTGGATTAGCCAAAAGTTGTGGTGAACCAGGGTAAAATTCGGTGTGCCTCTTACTCTTCTCTTTACTTCTCTTTTAAATTTTTAATTCCTGCGACTTCTCCGATCAAACGCTATTCACCCCCCCTCTAGTGTTGGCCTTTTATTCTAACAGACACTTTACAAGCGTGGATATTATCTTACAAATGGAATATATCCAATTTATTCCAAAATTGTCAAGTCGCTCTCCGAACCAATTGATCTTAAATGGGAAACATACAAAAAACCTATGAGGCGGAAACAAAGGATATCGAACGAGCCTTCAGGGTGTTGAAGGGTAAGTGACACATTATAGGTCGAGCATCTAAATATTATCTCAAACGAAAATGAGGAATATTATGTACGCATGTGTTATTCTTCATAATATGATTATACAGGACAACACGTTTGTAAATTGTCATTACAACCCGAGTAAGAGGGAACCAACCTACGAAGAAATCAATGATGAAAAAAATGAAGAAATCACCAAGAAATTTGAAACCGAGATATTCATGACGCAGTAATGGAGGTTTGTCATTGAACATATTTCCAGTCGTTTAAATGATCATTAATTTTATGTAACTTTTTTACATGCTTTATTTAAATTTTGTGTTACCTCTATTTATGTTTTTTATTTAAAACTAATGCAATTTTTATGTATGTTTAAATCTTTTTAATTTATAGAATGTATATTACAAAAATAAAAAAAATTAAATCCTGAAGCCTAAATTTGAAGCCCATGTATTTCTATGAAATTGTGATGTAAGTTAAAGGAGGGTTACAGATAATGTGGGAGAGAGAATACGAGAGAATACTTGAACCCACATTTGAAGCCTTGTAACACCCTAATTCGACATTGTCTGCAGCCCCTTTCGGACTAACATATTAATTTGAAAATCATAAAAATTTAAAACATTTCAACATCTTTATTCATCATAAAAATAATATTCAATACATACCTGCGGAAGCAAATTTAAACCATATTTCATAACAACACAATTATTCATTTAAAATCATAAATTCCACCACAAGAGTCTCGCCCCTTCTGCCAGGAACATACCAATCACTCATTCTACCTACCTGCGTGTAGCAAATAAAACACACTACACGTTCAGCGATGAAGCTGAGTAAGCATATCTAAAGCGTCAAACATCCACATAAATTGAATCTCAATTCACAAACAACCATTTGATATCATGCACACAATATATGATCCATTCATGATATTCCCAATATTTTTATTTCAATTTCTCAACATTCAACATTCATATTTGATATTCAATATTCAACAATCTCCTTAAACTATGCTTAGTCTAAGGCCAACCTTTTTTATGTTTACCAACTCTTAAACTAATTTTAGTTCAAAGTACTCCTATCCAACTCTTAAGCTAGGTCATTAGTTTAAGGTACATATATTCCGATTGATTGACCAACTCTTAAACTAGCCTTCGCTTAAGATACAAAATCAGAAAAACCGAACAGTAGAATACTAACTATCGGGTTGGGTGGTATCCCCAAACGAGTTCCTCTAGCTTGGTTTATGGATCTCGTACGTACGTTTTTACCCAAGGCCACCGAATATACGTTTTATCTTAGAGGTCTTGTAAAACCCAATCTATCCAGGTCTGCAGCCCCTTTCGGACTAAAGTATTGATTTGGTAATCGTGATAATTTAAAACATTTCAAACATTTTTATTGATTATAAATAATATTCCATACATAAAAACAGAGAAATACGGAGTGTTTAATAAAAATGCGGAAGCGACTTTTAAACATGTCTCATAACAAACATAATCATTTTTGTCAATAAATCCACCACGACTGTCTCGCCCCTTCCGCTTCCAAGAAAATGTCAATCATTCATTGTATCTACCTGCGTGTAGCAAATAAAACACACTACACGCTCAGCGGTGAAGCTAAGTAAGCATATCTAAAGCGTCGAACATCCACATAAATTGAATCTCAATTCATAATTAATCATTTGATATCATGCACACAAATATATGATATCCTCAATATTTTATTCCAAATCATTTCGACAATCAATATCTCAACTATGCTCTTAAATTATTTTTAATATAAGGCCAAATCATTTTATAATAAGCTCTTAGCTATTCTTAGTCTAAGGCAATATTTATAACCAGACCCTTAAACTATAAATAGTTTAATGCAGAGAATCGATAATCCACCCTATGAGTCATGTGGATTACGTACCAAACCGAACAGTGAACTGTCGGGTGGGTGATATCCGGTCTGGATCCCGTACGTACGTTTTAACCCCGAATTATGAATTGGTCAAGGAGGTATATCTTAGAGTTGTTCTAGATATCCTTAATAATCATCATCATTATACAAGTGGGTATATCTTAGAGTTCTTCTAGATATCCTTAACAATATACACTGATTTCAAGATCACCATTCTATTTATTTTTAATCATGATTTAATCATCAATAATCATCCTAATCAGTAGGTTTATCATTCATAATCAACCATAATAATTATTCATCATAATGATCATTCAACATAACGTTTAATAACAAATAGCGGCCTAGTCTCGAATGTTAACACCCGAACTTACCGTCGTGCATCACATAATGTTTTAATTTGTTAAAAACATCATTTTTATTGTGAAAAATAATTTTTATAATAATCATAATTAATTGGTATCAAAAATAGGATTTTAGAGCTCAAAATTAACAATTCCGAACAAATTTTCAGATCAGATTTTCAGAGGATCGATCGATCGATCTAGACTGTGAAAGAAAAGCTCCAGGTGATCGATCCAATGAATATGCTCGATCCAACCTGTTGTTTTTCAACTACTGTTCATCGTCTTCAACCTTCGGTCCATTTTTCGGAAATACCATTTTTAGTCACCGAACTTCAATTAAACTATATAGAGATGTTTTCTAAGGTTCATAGATCATTTTATAATCATTAAATCATATTTTTAACATCAAATTTAAGGTTTATGATTCTTAGTTCTTCAAACATATCAAACACAAATCAACTAAATGACCATTTATGAACGTAGAAACGACCTATATGAACATTCTAGTCATTAGATATACGGGCTTACCTCAAAGTGTAATGGAGGTTTTGAAGATTTTCCGGTGAAACTTCCGGTGACTATATCTTACTGCTCCGGCGACCTCACACAAAGATGACAGCACCACTGCACTCTACTCTCCGCAAGGAACAAGATAGTAGGAAGAGTAAGTTGTTTTGGTGAAGAATTGAAGGAGTTGGCTCTCCTTAAATAGCCAAGTGAGAAAGGAAGAAGACATGGTTTGCAGCTTTCGTGATTGAGCGATGATTTGGAATCAGCATAATTGAACAGGGCGCCGTTTGGTGTGTAGTCCCTGATTGGGACAAATTTTAATTCTAGTCGAGGTACACTTTTTGGTCCAACTTTCTCTGAATTGAATTCCGTTTGTACCGTTGCGATCAGACAGTCGATCTCTATCCAATGATATAATTTTTATATTTATTTATAATACTTTTTCTGACATCCTATTTTCGGGTGTTTGACTTTGACAGAGTCGAAATTGGTTTCTTTGACCTTTACTCACAAAAAGTGTTCTCACATTTAATTCATATTATTTATTCTCATGATTTATTTTAATAAACCATTTGAAAGTTTACAACATAAACACATTATTCATTTATTCTTGATTTTGTGTCTGTACTCAGGTCCAATCAAGGTTACACAAATAGTCAACATATTTGATTTATCTCTATGAGATTTATCCAGATTGTGATATTGGATATCAGAACATCTTTTACTTTGGCCCAAAATCCCAATTAGAATTTATTTTAATCAAAATAAATTTGATTAATCGAATAATTATTCATTAATAATTCTAGGGTATGTTTTGGGGCGTTACAGGTCTTCTAAGTAGCCTTAACAATACGATTCATTAATTCATTATTCTCAATTTAACAATTCATGATTGTCATTCAGAATATTCATCATAATCAATAATCAAACAATCGTCATAATATCTAATAACAAATAGCGGCCTAACATCGAGTGTTAACATTCGAACTTACTGTCATGCATCACATAATGTCAAAAACATCATTTTTATTGTACAAAATCATATTGATGTTGTTCATAATTAATTGGTAAAAACTAGGATTTTATAGCTCAAAAATATCATTTTTCGTTTTTACCCAAGCCGCCTTTATTGCAATTCTCTCTCCTTCTCTAGGCCCAAAACATTCCCTACAATGCAAATTCAAGGCTACAATAACGTCTCTTGATAGTCTCGAGCAATAAAATCGAATCCTGATACTCCATCAGCCAACCCCGTCAAGGCATCCACATTAATCTTGAAGTAGCCATTGTACAATTGCCATTGATGCGCAAAAAATATGATTCCCTCACATTAGTTTAGATTATCGAATAAAATTGATTTATCTCCCCGCATTAATATGATTCTCCTCCATTGGATTGATTTTTAAAAAACATGATTTTCATTCCTCATATTAATTAAAAAACTATATTAGTGATCTTATATATTATTATTGTCCCTTGCATTAATTAAAAAAAGTTGGATTACCGAGCTTATGATTCAAAGAATTTGATTCTTCAATCCTGCATTGCCGCATTAATTTTGACTAGCCAAATAAATATTATTTATTTCTTCCACATTATTATGATTCTCCTTCTTCGCATTGATAAAATCTTGGATTAACAGTCCTATGATTCAAAAAAATAGTCTAGTCGTTCACTCGTTTGTAGTGTTTTAATGTAGTGATTAAAATATATTTTTTATTTTTATTTTATATAAATATTTAAATAAATAAAATAAAAAATAACTTCATTTAAGCATGTTATAAACAAATATGAACTTTTTAAAGAAATCACATCAAATAGGAATAAAACATAACTCTTATCCCCCAAATAGGAGGTTTATGTATTTATCTCCGAAATAGGAGTTTAGACTATGATATTGTGGCACTGAATATTGTAATTTCACATTATTTTTTGGTATTATACGTTTACATTATTGACATTGTAACTCCAATTTTTGGAGATAAAAAATATGGAACTCCTATTTGATATTTTCCTCAATGTTTTACTCTTATTTTGGTACTTTTCTTTTTTAGAGGTTATGAAAGTATCTTTTTTAAGGAATGAAATCTTATTTGTTCATTGAAAGTTTTATTATAAATTAAGTGAAAAATATAATTATAGAAAAGTATATTCCAATAAAAGCGATGATCTCTCTTTTATAATTAAATTACTCAATCATGTTGAAATTATAAAGAATGTTAGTTTAAACATACTATGTCACGGGAAACATTTTTTGATCAACTGCACGTACAATTTAATTAAAAATATTATATCATAATAAATAACTAAAAATATGATATTTTTAAATTTAAATCATAAATAATTTAAGGACTATAAAGCATAAAAAAATTTTCCCTAGAATAATTGTCTAGAAACATATTTTCTCACAACCAAATGACTCTTAATTTTCAACATTTTCCAACTACTGTTGTTTCTTTGTAACTTCTTTTAGGTTCTTTTCACTCTTTCTAGTTTAATTCTTCAAATTCTTCTAACTTCTTTAAATTTCTTACCACTCTTTCTAGATTCACTTAACTTTTTCTGATTCTTTCAATAGTTATTTAAAAAATATTTGTAGGCATTTTACACAAAGAAATCTATTATTGATTAAAAAATTTCTATGATGAGAAAAAATATAGTGATGAAATAAAATCAATTAAGTAATGAAAAAGAATGATCAAGATTTGTATGGATAAAGAATAAACTTATTAATGGATAAGGAATGTACTTTTAATAGTAATTAAATGGATTTAATTATATGTTGCGTGTGAAAAAAAATTAAATTACATCATGAAATAAATTATTAAAATATTATAGGTACCATTACATTACCATGTAAAAATTTCACATCTATTATTAAAAAATTGGTAACCTTCAAAAGCACCATTATTTTTAATTAAGGTAATTTTTTTACCAAAATATGACTTTACTTTTAAAATTGGTAACTTATTAATTGTAAAAATTAAATTAAAAATCAGGTAAAGACGGGTAAAGGCGGAGACACAAGATGAGATATGATGTCGCCTTTGTTTGGTAACAATAATTTTTATTAGCGATAGCGTTTTGGATAAAATTTTAACGATGAAAATTTATTTTGAAAATGTTAATGTTAAAGGCTAGCATTAGATAACCTTTTCTAAACGCTAATACTAATTTCTAACGCTGTTGCCAAATGAAGTTGTCCTAATGTAGTAGTCCGAAAATAGGCTCTGTCAAAAGAAATTGGTTAGGAAATTCTTGGAGTTAATTCTATCTAATTAATTGGAGGATGTGTTAAAAATATTCCACATGACATGTCACGTGTCAAACTCTGGTGATTCGAGTCTGAAATATTATATTAAAGGATTATTATAGAAGTTTAAAACGACATGAACCACTACACAGTAGGTGTTTCTTTGTACTTATAGGCTGGTCAAAACTGTTTATAAATTATTTTTAACTTATAAGTCAGCGAATGACATGTTTTTTCTATTTTCTTATACGCTAACTTAAAAGCTGCTTATAAGTCAGAAAAAATAAAAATGTCTTACTTACTTATTTTTAGAGTAAATTCTATACAAGGTCCCCAGTTATAGATCCTTTTACATATTTAGTCTCCACATATCAAATATTACTAATTTAGTCCCCAATTATTAGATTTATTTCCACGAATGGTCTTTGTTAACATTTTTATTAAGAATGTGGATAAAATTGTAAATTCACACTTCTTTCTCTCCTCAATTAAGCTTCCTCCCTCTCCTCGCACTCCTTTCCCAAACTCGTCGCTGAGTTTGAAGCTTTGAACCCAAAATCGAAATCATCACTCTTCTCTCAATTGTTTGTCGAACTGGTGGAACCCAAATTCGAAACCGGTAACCTTCACGGATGAGTTTTAATGTTTATTTTCTTTGCAATTTCTTGAGACTAATCGATAAAACTCATCCATAAAGCTTATTGGTTTTGATTTTAGCTTCCACCAGGAAGACCAATAATTGAGAGAGGAGTGATAATTTCAGTTTTGGGTTTAGAGCTTCAAACTCAGCTATGAGTTTGGGAAAGAGTACGAAAGGAGGGAAGAAGCTTAATTGAGGAGAGAGAGAAGTATGAACATACAATTTTATCAAGGTTTTTAACAAAAACATTAATAAAGAACCATTCGTGAAAAATGATATAATAATTAGGGACTAAATTAGTAATATTTGATATGTAGGGACTAAATATGTAAAATAATTTATAACAGGGGACCTATTATGAAATTTACTCTTATTTTTAAGTAGTTTTTTTATTTCTCTAATTTGACTATATTACTTACAAAACTATCTCTCACCTATTATTAATCTTCTCAAATGACTTATATATTATTCAAATTATTTTATCTACACGATTTTTTTTAATATATAAGTAGCTGTTAAAATTTACTTAAATAAAAGTCAATAAAAAATGCCCAAAGGGGCTTGAACCATGGTCTAATGGCACATCCTTACCCCCTACCCCTTCTTATCTTGGCCGTCTCCTACGCGTCTCCTTCGCGCGATTTCTCCATTGCTTCGGGTATCTCTGCTTCATAGTGGAACCCTAGAATAGAAACCGAAGTAGGCCTGGTACTGGTAATGATTCACCATATTCTTTTTAATTTAATGTTCAATCATCCTAATTTGGTTCTCATAAATGACTAAAGTTTCTTTTTTCTACTTTCAGTTGTGTACTTCTATTAGTCTACCAGTGATGCTCAAAATGCTGATTAGATTACCTTATTTGTTAGGGTTTACGCTTTCCGTCAATTATGAATCACAAGATGAATGTGTATATTTGGGACATGGATGAGACTCTTATATTGCTCAAGTCTTTGATAAATAAACAATTTGCGGAGTCCTTCAACGGTTCAAAGAATTGGATGACCGGTGTTACCATTGGGAAAGCCTGGGAAGAGCATGTTCTTCAAATAAGTGATGACCATTTCCTTTATGAGCAAGTGAGTTTACATTCCTAATTCGACCCGTTTATAAATGAATTGAGCCCGCAAAATCTTGTTGCCAGTTTCTCTATCGCTTGGTTTGTTTATAATATAGTTGATAATGTGGGCAGAGTTGTGGAACACAAGTGTAATTTTTGGTAATGGTGTTTTTCAGATTGAGAATTGCAACATGCCATACCTAGATATTTTTAACCAATGTGATGATGGTTTGGATCTCTCGGATTATGATTTTAAAAATGATGGATTTAGTACTCCAGCTGATGATGTGAATAAGAGAAAATTAGCTTACCGGCAACGCTTTATAGCACAAAAGTATAACAAGGTATTCTTCGTGTCATTCCGACCATATACTGAGTATTTGATACTACGTCATACAGTTGGTCTTCACTATCACCAAAGGTTCACCTTGAATTGTTTTCTTAATGTTTTTAATGGCTAGTTTCTTCTTATTCTGTCTGCCAAGTTGATTTGTGTTTCTTGCATAGAGTATTTCTCTTCTTCTTGCTGATTTTTTTTCAAGAAACAACTCACTCAATAGCCCTTAAAATGAGTGGAAACTACTCATCACTTAGGCATATATTACAACCATTGCCCTTGTACCCACTTTCCATTTCATAATATCTGCAAATTTACTTTACAATAAACAAGAAACCCAGTATAATCCCAACTCCACTGGGGTGTGGGGGTCAAGATATATGCAACCTTACCCACGTAAAATTAGAGAGGCTGTTTCCGTGAGATAGTAGATGCTTTGCTTCATTAACTGCCCAAAATTTTATAGAAAGTAAGAAACGAGAGAAGTTTAATGCGTCATTGTGATTTAGTGTTTTATTTATCCGAAGCTAAAGCATTGTCAAAACTAATCTTTTACAAATTTACATTATTTTCCCGAATATCTGCTGGTGACTTGGCACCATTTACACATCCTGTAACCAAGGATGAATCCCACGTCTACAGCTGGCTAGTCAGTTGTTATAATAAGTGTTGGGATGCACTTGGTACATGCATCTGTACAGCCTTTTTGTGGAAAAATACTCTTCAAATGTTATGGTTATGAAAGTGGTTTATTATAGAAGCATACTACTATTCTTTGTGTTGCTGTTAACTAATTCCTTTTGTTTGCAGGGGTTGCATAGCATTCTTAATGAAGATCTGATAAAATGTTTGGATGATCTTTATCACACAACTGATACTTATACAGATGGATGGCTCTCATCCGGTAAATTACCTTGCAGTTCCAATTCTACCCTCATAACTTAGAATTGAATTTTCCATAAAAAGGTTTTGTATACACGTTTCTTCAATGAGAAGCAAACTAAAACTGTGTTCTCTTAGATTAAAAATATTTAGCTGAAATATACTGTTGTATATTTCGTACTATGTGGTTGTTAGTTAAGGTGAGCACTAGCTATTGCATGCATTGTACTACTCCCTCAGTCCCAACATAAAATTCATAGTGAGAACTGAGAAGTGCCACTCATATTAAGAAAGTGAAATTGTGTGGTCGAGATTTATTTTAACAAAGATGAGCAAATCTCAACCATACAATTCCTTCGGGAAATAGTGAAGTTTATATTGGGAGGGAGTATTTCTTATTGGAGTAATTAGACATGGAATTATAACTTTAAGCGCTTGTTTGGGATAAGTTCTCGTATACATGTTTTTATCACAAGTACTTCCTCATTTAAGGACTCAAATAGATTTTTCAGATTTTTTTTTTTAAATTTGTTCTGTTCTTAAATAAGCTTTAGAAGTGGTTTTTACTGGTTCCGCCAAACTTGTTTCTTTGAAGTAAAAGTACTTTTCTTTTACTTGAAACACTTAATCCTTGATAATAAGTCATCCAAAACACACTTGAAATCTCTCCACTCAAAACCCTGGAGATCACATTATTTCATTTGTCATTATGATTTCTTATCTTCATTTCAAATCTTACAGATGGCTACTCAACTTGATAGGACGAATACACTAATTTCATGGACTTCCAAATGAAAGTATTTTCTTGTGATGTGTTTTCATTTTGTTTTGAACATAAAATTTATAGTGTTGGTTTATAAAACTTGTAGCAATTAGGCTTTGCTTATGGATGCACGTTTCACTTTTTAGCCCGGTCTTGCTTGGAAAAATGTGCCACTGGAAATGCAGAGCTGCCTCCCAGTGACTGCTCCACTCTTGGTGCTAATGGTGAAGAGGGTGCTAAATTTCAACATGTTAATGTATTAGTCACTTCGGGGGCACTGATACCCAGCTTAGTAAAATGCTTACTCTTTCGCCTGGGTGATATGATTCCTTGTCAGAATGGTTAGTTGCTCTTTTTTACTGTATCAATGTAAATTCTTTCAAAATCTTTTTACTATTTGATTTCACATTTTGGTATCTTTGTAAGCATACCTCAAGTCATGATATCCTTAGTTTTTTTAAATCCATTCATAAATTGAACCCGCCACAGACCTTTTTCTGAATGGATCTATTCATAACTGAACACCCCCACTGCTGTTCCCCTCTCCATTTTTCTTTCCTCATCAAAATGAAGACAGTTCATTCCAATAACTTGAGAAATACTCTATAGTGTGGCTAATCGTAGGCATTCATAGATCATTAAGAGGAAAACTAATCACTTTTTATCTTTATCATGGATTAATGGTATTTCATGTGTCGATTATATCTCACTATCCACGAATTGTGGTTAAACAAAGCTCATATGGAAAATTATTAAGGTCAGTTTGGATAGAAAGTTTTGAAGGGGAAGGCTTGTGATATATCTTGATTCTTGTATTTAAACTATCCCCTCCAAGATTCTACGTCTCCAAAATTCGTCATCCAAATGTTCAAACATCAAGTGCCCTACATGTGCATTGAAGTGAATTATTATATCCATATACATGTCATTAACACAATTTATCACATCTTTTACTAATTCCATATATTATCAGTCTACAGTGCATGGGATGTGGGGAAGGTTCAATGCTTCACATGGATAAGAGAGCGGTTCAACAGCCAGAATGTACAGTTCTGCGTCATTGGAGATGGAATGGAAGAGTGTGGGGCCGCAGAAGCCATGGGGTGGCCGTTTGTTAAAGTTGATCCGTCGTGTTCAACCAAGTACCACCGGTTTCCAGGTCTCACTTCGGAGGACCTTGATCTCTACCTTGCCGTCGTGTATGGAAACCGCAATGATGAGAGTACCAAATAGAGGATCTCATCACATCCATTGTTGTAAGAGTTCTTCCAGTTCTTTTATAATATCAATGCACTAAGGTCCATAAAATAAATATGGACCTTAGGCCATAAGAATTTGCCTTGTAAAAGTGGGCAGTTTGAATTTTGAAGTAGTGTAGATTCTTGTGAGCCCACAGTCAAATTTGGTGTTTATATATCATGTCACAATACTTGGGTATAGGTAGCTCTTAATATACATTGAACTACAAGTCATATGGACTCTGTTTGGAGTGATGTTTGGCTTGATTGAAATGTGACATCTTATTAGACTTGGTGTCTATATGGCCAAAGTTTCAGTGTTTTAAAAAGATCATCTAAAGTTAATTTGTGTCATTAAAAAGTACGAAGTATTCAAAGAGCTAATGCCAATTGAAATTATTTTTCTCTAATAAAACCTTGAGCGGCGATTAAACGAGACCTATGTGGGTTAGATACTTAGGCATGATCAAAGTAAAAATTAGATGTTGTCTAGGAATAGACCTGGGAAAATAGACTAGGAACTAATTATATCTGAAACCGATAGAACCCGAAATCGAATATACCTGAAACCAATTATATCCGAAATTGATTCTTTTGGACAAAAAACATATTCTGTTTATGTACATTAGTGAACAATTACATTAATATGATTTGAAATTTTTATTTGACCATTTGAAATAATTATATACTTAGGGCATGTTCTTTAGGACTGGAAAAAAAGAGCTGGATGCTGGAAGAACTGGAAGAAACAGGAAGAAACTGGAAGAACGGGAAGAAACTGGAAGAAATTGGAAAAACCGAAAAAAAATAAAAGAAACTGAAAAAACTAGAAAAAATTGAAAAGTCTTAAAGAACTTTTTTAAAAAAATTTATGTGTGGTTTTATATTATTCTTATTCTGATTCTTGTTGTTATAAATTATTATTATTATTATTATTATTATTATTATTATTATTATTATTATTATTATTATTAGGAAAAATTATCTCAAATAATCCCACCTTTTCGCGCTCTTTCAAAAATAATCCCACTTTTCACTGTCACCGGAAATAATCCCACCTTTTCGCATGTGTGCGAGTTTTGGGTCACCGTTAAAAAAACTAACGGCCACTTAACGGAAGTTTTTGAAAATGCATGTTTTTTGCAAATAAATGAAAAGTGTGATTATTTTAGAAAAATTTACTTTTTACTTTTTTAGTTTTGAATTTAAAATTAATATTTTTAAAAATATAACAATACGCTCTTGTTAGAGATTTGTCTAACGATTAACAAATTTTGTAGTGATTTATAAAATTTATGGGTTCCGTTACAGGGGAAAAAATATTGTGTCATTTTCACAACTTTTGAATTACTATTTTGGGGAAAAATTTGTATTGAATTATTAAAAAAATCACAAATTGGGTAGTTCCATTTTAGAAAGAAAATTTTATTGCAATATAAGATTATCAATTAAAATTTCAGAGTGTTCATGGAAAAATTGTAATACATCAGAAAATGTAGTGAGTTATAAAAATAAAAGTTCTATTTTAGAGAAAAAAATTGTTGTGTTATTTTCACAACTATTGTAATGTTGTTTCACAAAAAATATTTATATAGAACTATCGAAAAATATTCATAAGTTTTGTAGTGCCATTTTTTTAAGAAATAATAATAATGTACTAGTATCAAAAAATAATTTGAAGTGCAGCTCAAGAAAAATACAATAAATGCAACTTACAAAACGGAGGGAGTAGTTAGTTATGAAGTTAATAAATTAGCTCTATTGTGTAGAATAATTTATTTTCTAATTATTACCATATTATTGGTTATTGAAAAAAAAAATTAGTTTCACTCTAAAAACACTTAAATTTGGTATTTTTTCCAAAAAAATAAAATAAAAATACATTTAAAAAAATTAAAAAATGAAAAAGGGAGAATTTACCTAAAATAATCCCACCTTTCATTTATTTGCGAAAAACGGGCATTTTTCAAAATTTCCGTTAAGTGACCGTTAGTTTTTTAACGGCGACCCAAAACTCGCACACATGCGGGAAGATGGGATTATTTCTGGTGAGAGCGAAAAGTAGGATTATTTTTTAAAGAACACTAAAAGGTGGGATTATTTGAGATAATTTTTCCTTATTATTATTATTATTATTATTATTATAATTATTATAATTATTATAATTATTATTGTTGTTGTTGTTGTTGGTGGTGGTGGTGGTGGTAGTGGTGGTGTTAATTATCACGTTATCTTAATGATTGTCTTTAAGATAAAAAAATATTACGATTATTATTTTTCATATATAAAAAGCTAGTTTAAAAAAATAATTAGAATATAAAATTAGCAAAAGTATTACACTTCTTGGGTCATTTTTCCTTTTTCAAAATGTAGTTTTCTCTTGGTTTTCATAATATTATTTTTTCAGGCCCTTAAATGTAATTTACCTTATATAAATTTAGATTAAAAAATATTCTGTATAGCTATTTATCCATAATTTTTTAAATAGTTTCCTAATTTTTCATGTAGATTAATATACAAAATAACGGTATTATTCATATTAAAGAGACTGGAAGAATGAATGTGAATCATAAAAATAGTGAGATGAAAAAATGAAATAATTTATAAACTATAGTTATGAACATAAAAGTTATAATTAAAAAAAAGTTGTAATAATAATAATAATATATTTTTTTAGAGTGATTTGTCAGAAAGTAGAAAGAATTTGAAGAAAATAAATATAGTTGGAAGAAATTAGAAGAAACTGGAAAAAACTAAAAAAAACTGGAACTGGAAGAAACTAGAAGGAACTGGAAAAAACTAGAAGGAATTGGAAAAAACTAGAAGGAACTGAAAGAAACTAGAAGAAACTGGAAGGAACTGGAAGAAACTTGAAGTTAAACCCGATTTCCTCCATAAATTCTCCGATCCAAATGGCAGAGAAGTTTCCATATTTATACCTTTTCTTGTTGGAGGGGCGACGGTCCGTTAAACTACCAAATAAAAAAAGAGTTCAAGATCTAAAGAACAAGCCCTTATATTACTTACTCTTATTGTCCAAAATGAATTATCATATCTAAACAAAATGTAAAATTTCATATGTTTTAAATTTAGTCATACTCTTATTTTAGTACCTTCATTATTTTTAAATAATTGTAAAAACTACGCGACTTATGTAATTATTTTTTGTAATTGTAGTCTCAACCTACAATTATTTGAATGGAAGAAAAGACTTTCAATGGGTGGTTTGGAATTGTTTACCAGAAAATATGTATATGGCTCCTTTTGCAACCCAGTGAACCCCATAAGGCATATCACTCAGCCAAAAATAAAAACAGGAATATAAATATGTAACTTAGTTTTCCTCATTGATAGAACATGACAATTATAATATAAATAAGACACTTCTTCTAGTCCTCGGTTGGACAGAAATCTATGCAGATTTACTGCAATTTATTAATTGTTCCAATGGCATAGATATAGCTAAAAAGATAAGAACACTAATCAAGTGTTCCATTGATCTAAAGTTACAGAAGTAGCCAAACATTTACTAAAAAGGTGTTTTGGGAGTGATTAACTAATATGCAATTACATTTTTGCTCATACCTACATATTAAATAAAATATTACAAGGACCAAATACAAAAGTTGAGTACGACAAAGACCTAAGGTTTCTCATGAACCTACATATGAGCAAAATAAATATTTTTTTACTACTTAAATAAGTATTTGTTTTTTCAAATTAAAAAAAAAGTTTTTTTAATGTGAGAAGGTCCACCAAAGAAGTACTCTTTACAAAGACTAGAAATATATTTAGTCATACTCTTATTTTAATACCTTCACTATATTTTCCCATATATATGAATTCTAAGAACAGTAAATTAGCGGCAACCTAGTCTCTAGTAGCACATGGCCTTTTCAATTCGCGTCCATTGTAACCTTTCTCATCAAATGAGTAATAATAGTAGGTCGATACATATATGTCTGAATCGATTTAACACAATCAAGAACACTTTGTACCCACGAAGAGTGATCATATCTTTACTTTATTTTACAAGAGGGGAAACCCCCATTTCGTTTCCTGCCTAAATAGTCTTCACTCACAAATGACAATTGCTAAACTAAAATAGGTAAGTGTTTAATGTCAATCTGCCATTAAAAGGTAATTAATTTTTTTAAATTTAACACGGTATCGTGTGTAATAAATTAAACACATGTGAAAATAATTAAGATACAATGTGTGTAATAAAATAAAATATTGAAATGGTAACACCAAAAGGTGTGTAATAAATTACAATGTTGAAATGGTAAGAAACACAAAAAACATAATTTATATTTATAAATTAAGATTAAAAAAGCACAGAAATGGTAAGTAACACCAAAAAAGTGTGTAATAAAATAAAATATTGAAATGGAAAGTAACACAAAAAATATAATTAATAATTACAAATTAAGATGTAACATGTATTTAAGGTATATTAAATATATGATATGGTGTTATAAAAAAAATAATTAACACGGTACCGTGTTAAACTGTGTATTATTACTTACCAAATTAAAGTGTGTATTAGTACTTGCCAATTAAACTACACACCTACTTAGGGCATGTTCTTTAGAGCTTGAATTCTTAACTTCCAATTTCTTCCAGTTCTTTTCCATTTCTTCCAGTTCCTTCCAATTCTTTCCAGTTTCTTCCCGTTTCTTAACGTGATAACACCACCACTACCACCACCACCAACAACAACAACAAGAATAATAATAATAATAATAATAATAATAATAATAATAATAATAATTTATAACAACAAGAATCAGAATGAGAATAATATAAAACCACATAAATATTTTTAAAAAGTTTTTTTAAGATTTTTAAACTTTTTCTAGTTTTTTCAGTTTCTTTTAATTTTTTCAGTTTTTCCAATTTTTTCCGGTTTATTCCAGTTCCTTCCAGTTCTTCCAATTTCTTCTAGGGTTGTACACGAACCGAATCGAATCGAATATTCATGAATAATATTCGTATTCGTTAAGATAGAGTGATATTCGAATTCGAATTCGGTTCGAATTTTTTTAAGATTCATATTCGGTTCGTTTAAAAATTCAGTTCGTTTAAAAATATTAGATTTATTTAGATTTTAAAATATTTTATAACTTATTAATCTAATGATTAGCTATATATATATATATATATATATATATATATATATATATATATATATATATATATATATATATATAATTTGTATAATTAAATTTATATTCCGAATATATTTGTCAAACTCACGAATCGAATACCCTTGATTCATATTCGTATTCGATAAAGATTCAAATATTTATTCAGATTCGTATTCGTATTCGGATTTAAAAAAATCGAATACGAATCACCTCATACGAATACGAATCACGAACCGAATTAAAAATATTCGATTCATTTACAACCCCAGTTTCTTCCAGTTCCTTCCAGTTTCTTCGAGTTTCTTCTAACATCCAGCTCTTTTTTTCCAGTCCTAAAGAACAGGCCCTTAATGTAATGTCTATCATCGTTGTATTATTCTATGCGTTAAAATAATATAATTTTAATGGAAAGGGTATTTTATTACTTACAAATTTTAAAAAAATCCGTATAGTTTTTTTTTCCGAATTAGTATAGTTTTTTATTATTTACCAAATTTTTTACTTATTAGGAATACGGTCTTTCCATAAAATAGCATTACATAGGAAAACATTAAATAGCATTATATTAAAGGTTTACTTTCTGTTTTGAATAATAAATAAGAATACTACTTAAATAGGAATACACTCTTTCCATATTGTTCTCAAAGTACTCCGTATTTAATAGTAATCCTTAATTCATTAAATGATAATATTAATGAAAAGCGTAATTACCTTTATATTATTCAATCACTGCACGGTGGAAAACACGGTACCCATTTAATGGAAAGAGTAATTTCCTTAGCTGTGTAAATAAAATAATGATTTTAACATATTTCATTTCTCTATATTCTATTAGATATCATTTATGATTTAATTTAGTAACGTAAATATGACCCGTGCAATGCACGGGTGTAATACTAGAATATCTTTAAAAAGCAATTGAATTCATGTGTTGTCACTAAAAAAAATTGGTATTTCGCCACACTTAAAACTGTTCTTCGCCGCACATATAAGTGTGGGAAAGACTATTTGCCGCACATGGATAAGTGTGGCGGGTGACAGTGTGGGGAAAATTTTGCCACACTTATATATGTGGCTAATGTTTTATTTTGCCACATTTATATATGTTTTTAAAACACCACACATACAAAAATACCATTATTTTTTAATATTTAAAATTCATAAAAAAACCTATGTGGGACTTGAACCCACATCTTCATGTACTTTTGCACACGACGCTCTACCATTGAGCTAATAGGCTAAGAAAATAGCTCAAATAGTATAACAATGTCAAAACTTGATACACATAAATGGTACTTCGGGATCATCTCATCAAATTGATAAAAATTGCAGATATTTTTTATGAAAAATAATAATAATAAGACACCTACCTCAAGAAAAGAGCAGCGACACTGGTACTTGAGCTCCTTGTGAGTATGCTTAATTTGCTTCTGAAGATTAAAATTGAATCTCCTTATGCCAAATTCAATAACACATCACAACTTTCATAAAAAAAAAGAATACCATATGTATCACAAGTAGAAGTTAGCCTTATCTTCTTCACGTACCTGTAAATTCTTGAAAACCATAAGTGAAGCAAAGCTTGTTGATGAGTTAGATGGTAAAACCCATTTCTAAAGTTCAACAAGAAGTTTAGCTTTGTTGAGGGCTGTATTGATAAAAAAAAATGGCTATACCTCCAACCCCTCATCCATCTTCACCACTTCCCCAACCTTCCTGGTTCACTCCTAAAAGGTTGCTTGTAAATTTCTACTTAGTCAACCTACAAATAAAAATACATTAGAGATTCAACCAGAGTATTTCAAGTCATATTACCCTTGAAGATTAAAAGTCAGTTACTATAAACACAAGACGTTACATGTCGATGATCTATTTTTTACTAGCAAATAACATACACATCCTGAAGGGTTTCGATGATCAAAACAATTTAAAAGTAGTGAAAGAGAACACCCTTCAAGGCAACCAAAAGCTGCACGAAAAAATAAATATCTGAAATAGTATATAATAAACAACTATAGCCTGTATTAAATTCAAAATAAGAAAAAACTCAACCGCTATATGGGGTTCAATGTAATATATCAAATCTATTCAAGCTCTAAATTGCCAACCTAACTACAAATAAACTAGCCTTTAAGTGTGAGGTCACCCTTAATTGCCAACCTAAAAATCATATTCTAAACACAGAAGAAAACTAACCATAAGAATTTATTGCTGAATCTAGAGCAATTACCACTATATCTGAATCTGGTGCTGCTTCTTTAAAGTGTGAAGTGTCATTCGTCTTCTCGTGTATTTGATGGCCTTCCCCGAGGAGTTTTGTACCCTCCAATGAGCCCTAGGGCTATCATGTGCATCTGTTTTGGCTTCTTTTTGGGCACACCTGTTATGTTTTAGTATATCAAATATCAAAACTAACAGAAATTTCAATATTCATTTGAAGCAGTCAATCAAGAGTAAGATTGAATCAAGTTTCAAAAGATATTCAATCCTTTGAACATGGCCAGATTATACACACAACCAACGAACAAATATTTAAACATTAACACATACTCCCTCCGTCCCATGAAACCTTTCTCCTTTCTTTTTTTATCTGTCCCACAAAACACTTCTCATTTCTATTAAAAAGTCACTTTTACCCCTTACTTTTTCATACCCTAACTATCACATCATACCTTTTTACTAATAATCTATCCATCAAATCATACTTTTACCCATCACATCAAAGGACATTTTTGGAAATTCAATACCAAAATACACTCCCCTTAAATCCCTCCTAAAAAGCAAAAGTCCCATGTTTCATGGGACGGAGGGAGTATATGGAAATAACCTGACATGTAATCAAAAATTTAATTTCAATTCTGTGAAATCTTTAGAACATAAAAAATGTCCTAGAATCAGACTAAACATGCTGCGATCAATGAACAGTGGAGAAAACATTACTTATAAACTAAGAAAAGAACCAGACCCAAAGAGTTGTCCTCAGTAGCAATGGTATCAAAAGAGTTCAATGTGACACTAACATCAGTTGAGGAAGAAGCTGGGGCCTGCACAATTTCAATAGAGGAGAGTAAACATGCAGACTGGTGTTTACCAACCCTGCATTTTTTTCCTTCGCTAATTAGTGTACCATCAAAGACAAAATTTGTGATGTTTTGGTTCTGAATTTTGCTATTCTTATTCTTATTATTATGTCCCATAATCACAACACTAAAGAACGAGACCCAAGTTTTAAAAACTCACAACAAAGAGGGCAGCAAGCACAACAAGAAAATACCAACACAAGCACCAAAAAATTTCATGTTATAGGCCACCAAAGTGAAGAAGAAGAGCTGAAAGTCACCTTAGGGGTTCGCCCAAAAACGGAACCAGAAAGAGGAATTGAAATGGAGAACCTCCAGTATATGTCTCGCGCTGTGAACAGTGCTCAGAGACTCCAATTACACCCAAAGCTCACAATTCATGTTTGGACGAATCAATAAACTCTAGATTGTGGTTAGGAAATGTTATCCGCTCAAAATACCTCAATCTTGGGGTTGAAATCAGCAGTAAGAACGAAAAAATCAGACCTGCAACATCGTGGATGAACTATAGTTGCGCTACTGTTGACCTTCGCTTCTGTCAAATTCCTGCCACAAATCACTAAATTGAGCTTTGAATCTTATTCTCTTGTTGAAGACGAATCAAAGGCATTATGAATCGCCCAAGAAGATTAAGAAAATCAAGGGGAATTTCCGATTGAAGGGAGTCGCGGAACACTGTTCATCGAAGAACCGAATCGCACGTCTCAACCTAGTGGATAATTTCCACACACCCGATTTTTCTTTTAAGAATTAATTAACTTGTGTATTGGGTTGGGCTTTAGTTTAAAAGATTAATGAAAAATGCTAGGTGTACCCCAAATATCCCCCACCCCCTCCTTGTCCATTAAAAAAAATAAAAAAATTTTAAAAAAAAAGTAAATAAAAATAAAATAAAAATGTGTGGAAGAAAGGAGGGTAGGAATGACAATTTTATCCGAATCCGACTTTTTCCGACCCGACCGATGTATATAATATCCGAATCCGACCGAAAAAATAAATATCCGAAACCGACCCGAAGATTTTAAAACCGAACCCGACTTTTGTCGGGTCGGTTTTCGGTAATTAAATTTGACCGACCCGACCTGTACCCGACCGACCCGATAATTAACCCGAAATAAAAGGTCTTTTTAAAATATAAAAAAAACTTTTTTCAATTAAAAGTCTTTGGCTTACGGGAGTTAAGACATGAAAAATATTTGTGAAAACTTGTTATATTTATGTGTGTTGTTTCTCTTGTGAAATACTCCGTATTTGTGAAAACTTGTTATGCTTCCATGTTTTGGTTGTTATTTTGGACACATCTTTTTTAATATCTTAATTTTACGATGTCTTTGAACGTTCAAATGTTTTTATGTATTGGAATTCTAATTATATCATTACATGCATTTATTATTTTATCATTATTTTAATAAAAATCATTACAAAAAACTGATTTATTAGGATATTGGTATGGTCAGTCGGTCGGGTCGGTCGGTTTTCAGGTCGGGTTAGGCTTAGGTTTTTGTCAAATTCTCGGGTTCGGTTGCGGTTTCGGGTTTCGGTTTAGGCAGTCGGGTTCGGGTAGAAATTTATACCCGACGGTTCAGGTTCAGGCAAAAAAAAATATCCGATCAAAATTTCGGGTCGATTTCGGGTAGGGGTATATCCGAACCGAACCCGACCCGTTGCCATCCCTAAAGGAGGGTGGTGCACATTTGGGGTATACCTTTTAGTGTACCCCTAGCATTACTCAAGATTAATTTATGTGATATGTGGATAACTAGATACTCGTATGTATACATCTCAATGCAAGCCTAAATTTTAAATAACCTCATTTATAAGTGTGGATAAATTGTAGATCTCTTAATTATTTGCCACACTTAGTTATGTGTTGCAAAATAAGTGCGGCGAAAAGTATGTTTTCTTGTAGTGTGTGCACACCTGTTGTAGCCAATCACATTATACTATTGCACAATCATATTCCCAACAGAAACAAAGTTTGAACCATAGTTTTCATAACCGGATCGGTGACCGAACCGGTCAAGGTACTGGGTCATTGGTTCACCGGTCGAATCGGTGGTTTAAACATATTTAAAAATTAAATAAATAATATATATATATATATATGTTATTTATAACATTTGACTAAAATAATATTAAAATATTTGAGTTATTTTACTAAGTTAAAAAATAAAATTTACATATTAGAAAAAGAATATTTAAAATTTTATAAATGAAGACTTGATTTTATTTTTTTCAAATAAGTTGTTTAATATTAAAAAACGCTCAAATAAAATCTTTGCATGATATTCATTTTGCAATAATATCAATAGTATCAATGATTTTGTGTTTGATTCATAGCTATATAATATTATATTTTTAAAATTAAAACAGAAATTAAACAATCTTTTTTTAATTATGAAATATTATACTCCTTGTTTCGATGGTTAGGAGTAAAAGATGAAGTGAATTTGTAACAAAAGCATCCTTGTTTCGATGGTTAGGAACTCAACCAAACCTCTACAAGGTCTTAGGTTCAAACTCCCACCGGTTCGATGCATGTTACGGTCCAAAGGGCCGGATCGGACCGGTTGGACCGCCAGTTCACGGTCCGAACCGGCCGCTCCGGTCCGGTTTTTAAACTATGGTTTGAACCATTTTGATGAACCGAATTACTTGTTGAGGTCCTACAATATCAATGACTTTATAGTACAAGAGATTATAATCAAGTTTTCTTTTTTTTTCAAAAATTTCAGCTGATTAAAAAAAATTAACCTTAAAGATAAGATGCAATAAAATTAATAAAACATCTTCCTTTAATATCACTCTAAGTATCACACATGATAGAACAACCTAACAATTTCCAAGATTTCTTAACATACTCAACATATTCATCAACTTTTTTTTGCTCCTAGAATAAGTTTGGTTCGTAAAGTTGATTAGCCTGACAATTTATACATATATAGGACCATAGTCCGCAATTCCTTTAACAAGATTGATGAATGACTTTTGTGGCACAAATGCACAATATTGAAAACAATATTATTTTGAAAAAAATGTAGCAAATAAACAAGTCATTTACATTAGTCTTATCTAGCAAATAAACAAGTCATCTACGTTGGTCTTATCCATTTGTTAACCATTCGGGCATGGTATCTGATACAATGAAGAGTTAGAAGATAAACCCACCCTTGTATTTACGGTACCACAAGACACACTAGATTCAATTTTATGCCTTTGAGAGTTTGGCCCAGTGTTTCACGCACCTTGAGTTTGTAACTCTTTAGAAATTTGTGTGCAAATTTTAATTTCATTAGAGCATGAGCAGCGGCGAGGGGTGTGAGTGCCTCGCATGCCAACTCAGCTGTACTTTTCCAAAACCGTGGCATGGCAACTAGGGGTGTTCAAAAACAGGTCTGAACCGGATTTTGGACCTGAACCGGACCGGAATGGACCGGTCCGGACCGGTCCGGAAGATTCAGGTCCGGTCCTTGGGTTTTACAAATTAGGGATTCCGGGTTTCCGGTCCGGTCCGGGTTTGACCCGGAATTTTCCGGTCCAGACCGGAATATATTATATAAATTGTATCCATTATTAATTTCAAGCCCAAAAGCATTAGATCCGGTCCATATAGTTTTAGATTCATGAATTTCAATTTTCCAATATGTAGTTTTTAGAAATTTTATTTTAGATTATTATTTTTACG